TCTCTTAGAATTAGTAAGCAAACATGAATGAGCAATTCTCGAGGCATCTCTTCTAACATTTTTTCAAACTTTGCATAGGGAGAGTGAGAGTTTGCTATAAATCTGATGAACGCTCTATTCGCATACACGGACATACAGCCAACATGTACAGCTTGCTCAGGAAGTCAGCACAGCTATAGTGCCGATTTTTCGACGAACGTAAGCTTTGATCTTTGAACATAAGCTGCAGAGCATCTTTTTTGGTCAGGAGGTCCATGGAATGGACATAGGCAAAAGCTGGGTTATGCGCTTCGATCTGCAAATATGACCATATACTTTTATCATTCTGGTGGCTTTGCAAAGTTTATTTGAGAACTTTTCAATGACTTTTAAACTTAATTTCCATTTATAAATGGGTTTTTTCCTTCCTCAAAGAGAGGGTGCAAAGCCGTTGGTGGCTATAGTGTTGTCACTAAGCACTTAAGCGCTAGTCGTGACTTTAATAAACTTTACATTATTGAATATTTATCATTATTGGGGCTGAACATGCTAGGTAACCGCACTGTACAATTCCAGCGCTTAAGGACTATCTCTGGATCAAGTGCTTTACGTTAAAGATTTATGCAAAATTCAAATGCATGAGGTATGTCTCTGGTATGTCTATCTATATGCTTATACCACTCTCCAAAATATTTATTGGAGTACAGCAAAGATTTGAAACATTTATTTATGATAGAACAAAGAACATATTTTATGGGCAAACTCATTTTAGCAGAGTTTGCACGATTTTCCAACTAGGTAGCTGAAATCATCTCCGTTTAATAGATCCAAAAAGTTTCAGTTCATTCAAGGAACTTACTTAGCAATCACATTTCTCTAACTACTCATTAACAACTTTTGCGCTGAAAGAATGCGCAATCTTAGTAAAAGGCTTTCTATATTCAGTGATTCTTTTAATAGCTTATTTCTTGTTCTCTGCCTTCTATTTCATGCATCCCGTTTACACTTAGATACCACCATATCAGACATTTCAATTCAGTGGATCGCTTGGATAACATCGCATTTGTTACTACTCGATCCCATCAGAATTTCATCAGTAGTCAGTTTTTGGAGAATGTGGACATGTATGTGCCCGAGGAAGGTCCTAACATTTAGATTTTTCCCACAGATTCTGTTAGATAATTACTGGTACTTTTCTAATTAAGATCGCCCAATGGTTTCGAAACTTCCTGAACTCAGCTCACCCATCAAGGAACTCTCGTCTACTGATGGAGCTGTTCTACCGGATGAGGTTTTTCGCATGGTAACAATTCCGTACTGTAGGCTTGAAAAATTGACCAAAGCGACTGTTTATTATAGGAAATGCAAACAGCTGGAAAGCTGGAATTGTCTAATCCGTTTAAAGAGGCTGCACCAGACGAGGAGATTGATTTGGTTACAGACGAAGATTCTGCATGTGAAGGAGATGAAGACGATGCAGATGAAGAAGAACTGGACTGCGTGGATAAGGTAGATTTCGAAATTTTTCTGTGACTATAATTTATGATCTGAACTTGAATAACATGTGACTAAGGTTTGTGATTGTTTTTTTCCACATCCTCTTTTAAATTTTTTCTCTTATCCAGCGTCGCTTAAATAGCATTCAAACTATACCAATCAAAGTCTTTGCCTTTTTATTGATTTCTATACGCAGAAATATACGTAGTAAATGCACATGTTGATGGCATATTTTTTTTCGTGACGCGAAAGAGTATCGTGATTTGAAAGCAACGATTCTATTTTTTATTGCATACATAGCTTCTCGTGAGGGCTGGAGCGGACACAGCAAGTTTTTGTTTCAGTAAGAACACGATCCAATCCTTTTTCGATTGCAATTAAAAAACACGGCTCGTATTTGCTTTGATTAACAAAACTTACTACCTACAACCTATCCAAAGTCTTTTATAAGCTAATTCCGCTTGATCTAGGTTTCAACGTTAGCCTCACCAAACAACACTCTTAGAGACGTGCTTGGAGGTAAGAATATACTCTTTAAATTACATCTTCACTATACATTGCTGTCGTCGACGCTATCTCTTATCTTTTCTTTGTAAATATCAGTTTTAAGGCTGCTGCAAACTTT